CATTGGGCAGGGACATATAAGGGGACAAGGGGGATATGTCATGTATGTTGCTGTTAATTAACAGTTTTTCAGTGAAATTTTCTCTTTTTTGTAAAAACAAAAAGTGAAGAAGTTTTCACTCTTCAACCAAGACACACTCATGTTACAGCTTCTCAAATGTGCAGATTCTGTGTCTTAAAACATTGTAATTTGAGTATTTTTGGTTTAGAGAGAACAAGCAATTTAAAAGACATCACACTGGGCTGTGAAAAGGGAAAATTTACTTTTTTTGGCTATTTTCTGGTCATTTCATTGACCAAACAATTGATCAATTAATGGAGAAAATAATCAGCAGATTCATCCATAATGAAAATAATAGTAGCAAAATAAATCATTCTCACATTAAAGCAGAGCTTACAGGCCGCTCAGGAAATGACCAAACAGCTTTAAAATGCACTGTGTGGCTGTAGGAAGCCACATTTCATATTAAGTCACTCTGCCTCCTTACAGATCTGTCCTGTGGCCTGTGTGGCTCAACAACATGGAGTCAGGAGAAACCACAGTCCACGTGAAGATATTATTTCATTACTTTATTCTTCTTTCATTAACCATATCAAGTGTCATTAAGTGGGCTGACTAGAAAACAGGATTTAGAGAAGTTACAACAGCATCATTCACCTCTGAGGACAAAAAACAGAGGAGGGTGGTGCACATGTTCACACAGAGGAATCATTGAAACTTGTGTAAGACCATGAGGGGAGGCAGAGAGAGACATATTGGTCATATCTGAGCATGTTTTTTGGCTCAAACTAAATGGGATTAGCCTGCCTGACCAACATACTAAATATAGATTAAAGTCGACTGACCATGATCTTAATGTGCTTTTAATTAGATTAGTCTTACTGTTGTTTATAAACCCAGTGAGTCAGCACAGGTGGTCTAAATGATAAGAAAATTATTACTCAGATATTGAATGTAATTCAAAGCGAACAAGGTGACATTATGTCTCTGGTGTATTTGCCATAGAGATATGTTATCAATATACTGATAATGGCCAGATAAAAGACAACGAAACACTTAAATAAATCAAAGTCACATAATGTCGCAGTCCCCGCGTCACTTTTCTGGGTGTGATGGGTTTTTTTTTTCTTCTGTCATCATTCAATCGCTTACCTTCACAAAAAGTTCAACCTTGGGCTGACTTGCGTCGCTCATGTTCTCCTGCTGATGCACGAAACCCTTTTTAAGGAGGACACAGACATGAACAAGCGGTTAAAATAAAGCTAAGTGAAGCACAAAGTTGTATTTTCTGAACGAGAAACTAAACGAAGTCGAAACTCGGGCAGCCAAGCCCATCATCTTCCGCTGCAAACCCAGCAGGGCAAATCACTAATTTAACATTGTAGCGGGGGCAGAAAAGCAGCGTAAAAGTTAAACAGAGCAAACCTCGGCTTCTAATAAAGCATTAAACAATAAACTGTGGATGATTTTTGAGTGTGCAGACCTCACTTCAAAGTGCTGAAAGTCGTCGCCTGTCGCTGCCTGCTGGTCGCTGGTTTCTCCTCCCAGTTCTGCCGCTGTCTGGACAGCTACACGCTCAGCAGCGCGGCAGAGCCTCCATTTCCTGGTGCCGCGCGACCGACACAGCTCTCAGCAAATAAAGTGACGTTCAAGACCGTCAACGAGAAACAAAACCGCTTACTGGAAGAAGAAGAAGAAGAAGAAGTAGAGAGGCCGCCAGGGGTGAGATGCAGGGTTAGAGAGGAGAACTGTGGTCTTATATTAACATTAAACATCATTTATTTCAAAAGAGAAACCGAACTTTTAGTTAGACGGCAGTTCAGATATGAGTAGATGGAGCTGAATGTGGCCTAAAAACTTCCAGATTGAAAAGGTTATTTAGAAAAGTCATGTTGGTCTTGACAGTAGGCTACACAGGGCATGAACACACCTGTATCTTACACTAAAATACAGCTTAAAAGCAGCTGAGACATTGAGTTTCTGTGTCCACCCCATGTACCCAAACCTAAGTTATGAATATATAATATATTTAACCTTTCAGCATCACTTTGACCTTGGTAGTGCTACTTCAGGCGTGTTTTGGTCTGTGCCAAACTTAATCTTCACTCAACTTTGACAAATTAGACATTCTTTGAAAGCTTTAAGTCTCCTGATTCAGTCTGTGCAGAGAGGATCCCCATGTCACTGCAGCACAGAACTGGCTCAGACTTGTGGCTATGGAACAAAATGGTTTTCCATAGTAAGAGTACAACTGGCCTTATATTTATTTTTATGTGAAACCAAATATGCAGGGCAGAAAAAATTGACATTTCTATCATGTCTGTGCCTCTGTAACTTTGGTTCAGCACCTCTTACATTCATTCTGACCTTTTGGTTGTAAAACTTATGTCACCTTTCAAAGGTGCACTCAAACACACATTTGCCAACATTAGTTTTACACATGAAACTCTGTACTCACAGCAGCACTATAGCTATATCTGCATAGTTGTAAGTAATTTGAATTGTTCTGTGCGTATTGCGTCTAACACCAGTTATTTGTACTTGTGTGTGTCTGCCATGTACAGACTGTCTTTTACTGTTTTTACTGTGAATGCTCAATGTTGTGCCCCTACTGAAAACTATTGTCCTTCTGCCATAATTAAGACAACCAGTCAGTCAGTCAGTCAATCAATCAATTCATCTTCAAAATGAAAATATAATATGTGCAACTTTCATGCCACTAGGCAAGATGGGACAGGGTGTAACTTTTGTGACGGCAGAACTTACATTTGCATTTATTTGCATAGCAAACCCTAACCATTGCTCATATACCTTCAGAAAAATGTAGGAAAGCAGGTTTGTTTGAGATGGGCTTTAAAATTGTGCCTGAAGTTCAGTATCAGGAGGAGTTTCTTATTTTAATGTTTTTGCACTGTAATGTGTTGGATGTCACAAAAGTGTGATGTGTAACTTTTTTTTTATAAGCAGTCATTTTAGGTTTGTTGTGACACTTAAGTTCAGATCATAATTCTTCCAAAAGTTAAAATCTTTTTGCAGCAATGTGCATAAAATATAATAATAAAATATATACACAATAGAAACTCAATAGGAAAACTGAAGACATTAACAGTGGGGCTACTTTATGTACAACATGGAATACAGTCAAAAGTTCATGAAATAAAAGCAAAGAAAAAGAAAAATATAAATAAAAAATATATTTAAATTGAATTCAAAAAATCAACACAGTTCTGAGTGGTGTGTGTTGCAGTACAGTAACAGGCCGGTAGAGGGAGGTATTGAGCTTTACATTACTTGCTGCCTTCAAAGGATAAACAAAACATGAAAAACTGTACAAAGTCTGATCCAAAAATCTGGAAAATCAGTATGGTGTTATGAGGAAGGTTCTGCTCGGTTCTCCGTCCAATGAGCATGTAAAACCAACAGTCAAAGCCTTAATTCAGATACAGTGTGTTCCGCATCATGGAGCCCCACACTGTGGTCCAGAAACAGCAGGACTCCTTGAGGAACTTCCAGTGGCCAGTCATTTAATTCAATGTGTCTTAAAACTGGCCTCTGGAACCTTTTAAAAAGTGATTATAGGTTTAACTTTTCACTGCGAGACAGACAAAAAAAAACCCAAAAACATTTCACTTAGGGGTTTGTGGTAAAACTGTTATATACTGGAAATGGATCAATTCATGAATGATGCGGTTACATTTTCAAACAACACTACAAAGATAAAAGAAAAAAAAAACACAGTAATTTTCCCTGTTAAAATTGTTTTAGACCCTCATAGAACAAAATGTATAGATTATGACAAAACATGTACTGTATAAAGCTGGAGAAATCAGAAAAATTCATACATTAAATAGTCCAAAGTTAGTGCCTGATCTGGTTGAGAAGGTGGACCACTCAACCAAATAATTGTCCTTTTCATTTCAAGTCACATATCCTTTTAATTTTCCGGGGACTAAATCTAAATGTGGGGATTTTTTCACTTTTTCAGTCATTTAAAATCTACTTTTAAATATTTTTTGTTGAATCTTGGCTGCTAATAAATCAGAGGCCAATGCTGCACTTACTGTTCTGCCCAATATTTACAATATCAGGTTGCAGTGTCATTGTGTTGTCACTGTGCTGTACTGCTCCTGTGTACGATGCATTAGAGGGCGTCCTTGGTTTTGAAATGATTTGCAGGGCAACAGGATTAATTCCATCACACGTCTGTGGAGAGAACCCGACTCCACTCTGCGTTGTAGCTGGCAGCTGCTGACAACTCAACATGTCACAGCACAGATCCTTCTTCCAAAACCCTTCCCAAATAAATACTGTATCTAAAATGCAAACAAACCTGTTTTATGTCTCTGTTAACACTAATACTGCTTCATGCCCAGGAGTCATATTTTTTTGAGGATATAGTCCACCTAAGCGTGTTAATGCTGTCAACTATCTGGTTATCCTAATTATAGTACACTTTGGCCAATAGTTTAGAAACACTGAGGCCATTAGAAGTTTCTCCTCTGCTATCCTCTCAAAAAATCTCTAAAGTGTTTTAAAGATTCTGGTTTTTCATATTGTATATAATCTGTGTGCTGTTACGTTCTATCTTTTGCAAGTTTCCTCTGAAAAATTGCTTCAAAACACAACCCAACCAACTAAATATGACTACATCTCAGAACTTTGTCTGTTTTTTCCTGTAATTAATACCAGATTATGTAGTTCACTCCAGGAAATTAGGGACCCGTTAATGAAACATTACAGTTTTATTCCTTAACATTAAGCTCTAAAAGCTCCTCTGAGCCTTCTCTCTACTGCCAGAAATTAAATTTGTTGGCCTAGAAGTACTCACATTTAAATATACTAAGTCTTAAACACCTGATTTAACAAAAAATATAACTGCTGACCGCTGTAAAATCCCTCTATGTTACTTAAATAATGTATTGGAGACATGATTTCAGTGTCTATGATTGTAGCGAGCACCCTGAATTCGTACTTTATGATGATAAGAGGCAGAAAACAGGTTATAATGACTTTTTTAATGATGCTTCGTGGATTTCAAATTCAAATTAAAATAGTTCATTAGTAGGTACATAGGACAAATCAATGTTAGGAGTATACTGATTAATACTGAACTAGTACAAACAGTAAAAATCCACACCAACAGTGGAAACATGGGCAGATCATGTAAAACTACAACTCCCAGGTGCCCCACAGAGAGGACAGGACGGCAGCACAAAGGGCCACAGTCAGGGAGATCTGCACAGAGGAGGCTCCATTGCACAGATCTGTGGTACAGCACTGGAAACTGCTGGTGTAACCAGCGCCAGCGATGGTGCCAGTCAGTGTCCTCCCACACAGGTCTGAGTCCAGGCAGCCGCGGGTGTGCAGGGTGAGCGTCCCTGTAGCGTTGAACTCTGGGAGAATGAAAATGAATGTGAAAATTAAAGGAGGTTAATTTAGAGTGTTTTTGTGCCACCAGCAGCTGGTTTCACTGTTTCACCAAAAAACCTTCATTGGATATCTGTTCTGTACTGAGCTTTTCCTATTCAACTCCTTCAAAATCCATCCTTTTCAATTAATGAAATTATTACTTTTTTATCAGATTTTATAGTAATAATTAACAATAGTATTTCTACATACATACAGTGTCACGATAAAGTGAGTAAACTCCTTGGAATCACCTGTATTTATGTATAAATTTGTCTTAAAATATGGTCAGATCTTCATCTGAGTTACAATCATGAACAAACACAATCTATTTCAACTAATAACACACAAATCCTTGTATTGTTCTTGTCCATATTGAAAACATAATTTAAACATTCACAGTGTTGGAAAAAGCATGTGAACCCCTCAGCTAATGACATCGACAAAAACTAACTGGAATCAGGAGTTATCAAACCCGGAGTCCAATCAATGAAACTAGATTGGAGGCGTGGGTTAAAGCTACTCAAACATCTGCTGATATGAGCCATGCGTCACAAAACAAAGAGAGGAACAATCACACCAGATATCCTTCATTTAATTGTGACTTAAGATCAGTTCACATGTTATGATGCTGAATGCAGAAAACCAGGTCATTCCAAAGGGTTCACATCCTTTCTCTTGCCACTGTATAATCCATCATAAATCATGACTGCAACTATTCACACTGTGCAGGTACTTTATTTGTGCTTTGTACTTAAGTACTTTATTTGCAGAGGCAGTGACAAAACTGAGCTTCAACCAAATTTTTTCATGTTTGGTTTTATTGTACATTTCTGTATAAAATGCAGTGTTTCCAGTGTTGTAGAGGTTTCCTTACGTGCTTCTCCGGTATAACAGCTCTCAGTTGCATTATTGCATGTGACATCACTCCCCAGCAAGCACGTCCCAAATATGCCAACAGGACACTGACGGCACCTCAGGCAGTGTGCTGTGCAAACGAAAAGAAAGACAGGAGGAAACCTGTGATAATCAGGTTCACAGAAACTCGCTCAACAACATAGTTCCTTGAGTTGAACAGTGTCAGGAAATCTGTGCTAGAAATCTGGTTTTGGTTGGGACTTTCTGAAGCCATCCTCGCACTGATAATATTTGTTCTCATGCGCTGTGATGAGTCGAATTGCCGCAGGAAAGCAAAGAGAATAAAATAAATTGAAGCCCTAAAGGATTTTGTGAATGAGTATTTCCATTTTATAATAAGAATAGATGAAAGTCAGATGACACTTGATGATTCAGTGGTACTCTACTCTGTCATCTCCTGAAAGGTGCGTTTTAAAATTATTTTATAGCTAATAGTAATGCTACTCATCCTTACCCATTGTGCGTTTCACTTACAGTGGCTATTTTTTCATAGTAAACTGGCATTACTCCTAACAATACTTCCCTTTGTCCCACCATTGAACTGTGTAATACATACAGTCACCTCCTCCGCCTAATTGATTGACTTTCAAACAATAGTAACAGTTCCTTAATACAGATGAGGCGCAGGTCCCCTGGTCCTGTGGCCAGCAGTAGGCCCATCAGTGATCCATCCTGGCATTTGAATGAAGGTACAGGGGAGGAAAGCAAGACAATGGGCAACAAGGAAGTAATAATTACATATTCTCCTTGCCACTAAATGTCCTTTTGCTCCTCATAGTCTTGTTTTCTTCTACCATCGATCACAGGCTCGGCATATTTTGTTAGTTACTGTTTGTTTTATTGTTAAGCAGTTTGTAACTCAGTTTAGAAAAGTGATCTGTAAATAAAGTTATCATTAATATTACTATCTGATCATGTATTTTTTTATAAACTAGGATGCAATGCACCCCTGAAACTAGAAGTCCAGTCCATACACTTCCTTAAATTTCTAAAGTCTATGAATTGTTGCATTTTTAGGCAAGTGAATACATTTCCCTTTAAATTCTTTTTAACCAGGTACTCAGGAAGCAAGACACTCTCCAAATTGCTTTATGCTGCTTTTAAATTGCCTATAGTCTCATAATGTGTATCAATTCAGAACAGGAGTCCCCTCTGACATCTGTGGCAATTAGTCCTGCACAAGACAATTGTACCAGACACAATGTCATTAAGTTGCCGCGCAGCAAAACCACCTGAGACTCAATCATGAACGGCAGTGAACATAACCATCAATCTTTATCTTTGTTTGTCCCGAGACTTTGTCCTGAGCACTCTGTTCGCTCCTGGTAATGAGCCAGAGTGCAATCAAGGTAAAAGCCACTCCCTTTGACTACATTTGTCTAGCAATTATAGTGCAGGTCGGTACTTAACACAGACGTGTCTAGTTAATATTGAGGTCACACAAAACGTAGTCTGAAAGACAGACATTGATGTAGTTAGGAGTAAACACATTTGATCTCACAAAAACAGAAGGAACAATAATATATAAAGGCCTGTTTTAGGTAATCTGTCGTTAGCTTCTTTACAAATAAAGAATTAGGTTTAAGTAAATCTGTGTTCTCATTTTCACCCACAGACTGTATGTGAAGACAGTCGAAATCCTCTTATTTCACCTCAGAAGTTATTCTGAACTTACCTGCTGCGATGAAGGCGCTCAGGACAGTCACTGCTTTCCAGAGGTTATTCATCCTTCTCAGGGTTACGAGGTCAACGGGTTTAGTTAGAAAGTTTAAATAGAAATTATTTCAAGGTCTGAATACCTCGGTCTGAGTCTAGTGACTGTCTGAAGAGGCAATGACAAGATTCCACTTAGGACTGAATGGTAAAGTTATGTGCAAGAATGAAGTTCATCAGGTTTTGTGTTTTCTGGAAGGTAAAGAGGAAGTCCTGATAAGATTTCACAGACATTCACAGCCTAGAGGAAAGTAAAACTCAAGGGCATTAAAAGTCAGAGCATGTAATGTAACTTTTATTAGTTTAGTTCAGTTCAGACAACTTTATTTATCCCCCATGGGCAATTCATTTGTAGCTTCCCAGTCCTTACGTTCGTATTCAACAAACAACCAACCAACCAACCAACCAACCAGATATAGTTTATTATTTGTTCACCTCTGTTATGAACATGCAGTAAAAGGTTTACTTTGTGGTAGTTGAAGATGTAAAGAGTTTTCATACTATGTCTATATTCTCACAAAACCCCATATTTCCATGCATAAAGGCTACAACAATACGACTATCACAATACAGGAGTGTCTACAGGATCCATCAAGTTGCATGCACACAAAGACAACAGGGATCTTTGTTTTCATTTTTAAAGGCTCAAGTTGCTCCAAACAGCCAGTAGGGCGGCGCCCACAGCAGCAGTGAGAGAGAACTGGATGGATGCGGCTCCGTTACAGCAGTCGGTGCTGCAGCAGGTCCTGTTGACGGTGTATCCGGCAGTCAGGAGGGATCCCATTTCAGTTTGGTTGCAGAGGGAGGAGGCCAGGCAGCCTCGAGTCTGCAGGCTGATCAAACTGCTGACGTTGAAGGCTGAAATGGGGAGATAAGGAGACAAAGAGAGTTTTTGTTGGAGTTTTTACATTAAAAATAAAGAGGTGCCGACACATTGTGACACTCAAAGGATCATTGAAGTGTCACTCACCCAGGTTTCCCCAGTAGCAGCTGGACTGAGAGTCGCTGCAGGTTTCAGTGGAGCTGAACAGACATTTACCTGCGATCCCCACCCTGCAGGTGTTGCAGGTCAGGGACTCACCTATGATTGAGTGAAATGAAATGAATGAATGAGAGATTTAGAAGAGCACATGATGAGGATGAGATAAGAGAGAGAAGGTGCTGAGACAGATGACGTACTGCTTTCTTTATACGAGGGAGGAACATAATTGAAGTTACAGAACATTACACAATAAGCCACCACTGACCTAAATGCAGCGTCAGGATCATTTTCTTTATCACTTCTCATCATTGTCAAAGTCAGCAAAGTTGACATCATTTTCAGAAATGTCATTTCAACATGATAAAATGTTCTTATCAAACACTTTCGGTGCCTCAGAGCTTTTATTAAGTGTTACTGTTTTATATGAATCACTCTGCATGAACGTCACAAGTCAATTTATACCATAGAATTTTAAAACAAATTGTCAAAAGTAAATTAAAAAAAAAAGAAGGCTGCTTGTGAAGACTTTATACGATCAAAATGCATACTAATGCTGCGTTCATATCATATTGTTTAAAGCAATTACGATTAGCCAAGTGGGAAAAACTGCCCGTCAGCCTCTGATGGAGATATCAGGAATTTCTGCCACTTGTTGGAAACAGCCCCAAACTGTTGACAGAATGGCTGAAAATGGACCAGTGCTGGCAGTTACATCAAAATAAAATCCAATGTTTATAATCCATTAAGATCATTTAAAATGAAGTATACACTGCTTGTTGGTGTGAATACAAAGTTAGCACTAGAGCTAACCCCTTGGAATAATGCATGAACACCAAAAGTCAGAATAACAGGTGAGTTTCCTGTTCTTCCCATTCTGCCAATATTGCATGAATTCAGCATAACAACAACTTCTGCATAATGTCAGCGTGTCGATGGAGTTTTGACCCTTTAAAACTACTTCCCCTTTTCTGTGCACTTTTCAAGTGGGTGAAGTTCAACTTCACCAACCACCAACCAAACTCTATGGACATTTCAAAGTAAGCCTATATAAAAAAAACTAAATAAAAAAATTACAAAATTTCACATTTATTCTTTTTCATAAATAATATCGCCATGGTGTAAATATTGTATTACAGATTTCTTTCCACTGTCACTCATTCGTTGTATTCTGGCGGAGAAATACTGAATCCTTTAAAAGTAAACTGCCAAAAAGTCATAAAACCGCCAAATTTTCAGAAATACATTACCAAGGACAAGACCTTGGTGTTATCACCAGTAGCTACAGCCTGGAAAAGTGACAGAACCGATCTGAATTGATTGTCCAAATAGTTGCCAATACATTTTCTTTTGACCAACTAAACCGATTCATTTTTGCAGCTCTAGTTCAAGTAAAGACATGTGAAGATGATTTTTTTTTTTTTTTTTCAAAACTGAAGATATAGTGAGATATAGCGTGCCCCTACCTGTAACAACCATTGCCATAAAGGCTGCACAGACCAATAGCAATTTCTTCATTTTGCTCTTACACAAATGTTTGTTTTATAAAGAGATTTTCAGCACAAATAAGAAGATCCAAATGCAACAGAGGTGGTCAAAGAGACGAGCAACCATCCAACTGTCCAGGTCAGTGTCTAAAATGGGAGCTTTATCAGCTCTGGTCACCTGGTTGCGATAAGGATCTCAGATTGGTCATCAAGAATGATTAAAAAAGATGAATGCCTTTCATTTTCACTTGTCAAACTCAGAGAGCTTTGAAAAGCCAAACAAAGAGAAAAATAGATAATGGACGGTCATTTCTTTACTGTGTTTGTGTGTGTGCATAGTTGAATATGTGTGTGTGTGTGTGTGTGTGTGTGTGTGTGTGTGTGTGTGTGTGTGTGTGTGTGTGTGTGTGTTTGTTTGTTTGAACCTTCACTTTCAAAAGCATTTCATTACAAAAGAGGACAAAGCTACCAAGTTTCAGTCAATAATGGGAAATGTCCTCAATAATAGGAATCTCTGTGAAGAGACACTCCCTTTACTCTTTGCCATCTTTTTTTCTATTTTTTTTACTTTTGACTATTTCCACATAGATCATGGACACTCAGTCTTTACCATTGGCACTGTACGTGAGACCTCAAGTGTTTTTTCAAGTGTAGAATAGAATAGAAATAGAAACTGAAGAGAAGCTGTGAGCTCAAGACATTATTTGCATCTTTGAATCAACCTGCAGTAAATTATGGTTTTTAAGTTTGCTTGTTTGGTATTAGTCAAAGAACAAGGGCTAAAGTTGCAACAGCATTAAATTTACTCACAGTGGTTCATAAGTCTGTAAAGAAAAAATCAACTCCCAAATCCACTGAAAACAGCTGTTTAAGAAGTACACATCTGTACAGAGGTTAGCTTCACTTAACTAAAGCTGGAAACACGAGGAAATAGCTACCCTGCTTCTATCTAAAAAAAACAAAAAAACAATCCTTCTGTCAGCAGCTCTAAAGCTCGCTAATTAACATTTTATATCTCACTTGTTTAACACGTACTTAACTAGAGAGAGAAAAAAGAAAACAATTTGCGGCTAAGCTAACTGGCTGCAGGCTGTAGCTACATGTTTATGATACAGAGAAGAGAGTGGCATCAATCTCCTCGGCTAGCACTTAGCAAGAAAGCAAACTAGCATATTTCCCCAAATGTCAAACTATTCCTTTATTTGTCACAGCTTTAAATTTACCCATAGGTGCTAAATGTTTTTGCATTCTTTATAACATACATACCCAAATAAAAGCAGGTTATAATATTTGGAGTTCATTCGTTTCTTATTTGCCATGAGTTACATGAGCTAAAATGGTTATCTTAATTTTGCTCAAAGACTGGAAATAGTGGGAAACAGCTAGCCTGGCTCCATCCAAAGGTAACAAAAAATCTGCCCACCTGCTCCTCCAAAGCTCAATGATTAACATTCAGTGGTTTAATCTGTACAAAAGCCAAAGAGTATAAACAATATATTGTGATTTTTATGAGCGGTTCTGTTGCAAATTATTTTATGGTTTCATACCAATCTCAAAGTGATGATGAGACTTACAGCTCCCCTCGAAGAGATATGTGACTTCCATGAACCTACAGCCTCTCATCTTGTTTACAGATTAAACAAAGATATAATATTAGTTTAGATGATAAGAGGTGCTGGAAGGCTGGATCTATCCTCTTCAGACAGAGCCAGAGTAGCTGTTTTGTGCTAAGCTAACAGACTGCTATAAGTAATACTGCTATGCTGTAATTAAGATGCAGACATGGGAGTGATATTTATCTTCTCATCTCGCCCACAACAAAAATGTGAAAACTACTACATTAACACTGTTTTGTTTGTTGGTCGTTTGAATTATCCAAACCTTGTCTCCGAGACAACAGTTATGTTAGCATATCGTATCATACCGATCATGTGGAGGCTGTGCTCCAAATAAACACTCTGGGAAAACTGGATTTACCATTTCACTAGGAAATAATTTATTTTTTTAACAATCAGTATTGGTTTTAAGTTGCTTAAACAGAGGCATTCAGTCCTGGTGTAGTATATAGAGCCACAAATTGTTCAAACAGGAAATGTAGAAAGACTGTGACCTCAGAAAAAAAAGTTATGTGTTTTCGAAATGGAAACTTAAAGGAACCATTTGTTGTCCCATCTCCTCTTCTTTAAAGGGCCCATTGGCTCAAAACTGCCACCAGAGCAGCACACAGAGCCGCGGTCATAGGTAGCTGGACGGAGGCAGCTCCGTTGCACAGGTTGGTGCTGCAGCAGGTCCTGGTGATGGTGTAGTTAACATTCAGGATGGCCCCAGTCTCATTTCTGCATGCAGCTTCTTTTGTACAGCCTCGTTGATGGATATCCAAAAGGTCGGCGCTAAACTCTGGACAAAGCAAAGAAGCAAATATTTACTATGATTAATTTTTTTAATTACGAGAACTGATTTAAATTATGCAGCAGGGATGTGGCTGTCATTACGGTTTCTTTGTGGTTGTTTGTGTCTCCTCTATGCAGAAAGACATCTTTTGTATTTCAGTTTTTCATATGAGAAACATTATATTTTACATGTGGCATGTCCAAAAATCTTTTTTTTAAATTTATTTTAATGAGGACAGCCAACTCTATTGATTTATTTATTCATATTTTAATTGTGTTTTATATTTTCTTTGTGTGTATGTGCAATACATGCATCTGTTCAGCGTCAGCAGAAAGTCTAACACAGTTTATCTTTAACATTACATTGACAAAAAAAAGGCTTTTTGTTCATTGTTTTTATGTATGAAAAAAAGTTTAATGTGTCATTCATCTTACTAGCAACTGCAGTGAAACATCTGGTCTGATCGTTAGTGCAATTTATAGGTGCTGCACGGAGGCAGGAGCCGAGGATCGCCACATCACAGGTGTAACAGGAGAGGGACTCAACTATGAGAGAGGAGAGACAGGGACATGAACAGGACCACTGGAAAAGAATGTTTTATGTTGTTTGAGCTCAACCCTCTGGAAAAAGTCAAATAAATATTCCTAAATATCTGACTTCATTTATTTACACCTTTATCAAACAAGCACCTGAAGTAATCTTCAGGCTTTTGTTTCGTAACCTCTCAAGGTGAACACCTCCGGGTGTGTTATCTAAAATGCAATTAAATACAGGATACATCTGTATGACTTTGAAGCAAACTGTACAAAATGCCACAGTTTTATTTACTGAAGTTGATATGAGTCATGAGAAGTTTTCTGGCTCCACCCTGTAACATTAGAGCTGAATGAGATTTGTTTTGTGGTGCTTACATTTAACATCAACTTGATTTTCACAGACACAGTGTGCTGGTTACAATAAAAACTATCCAAGGTATGTTTTGTCAAAGTCTGTAAAAAATACAAACAAAACTACAGTATCTGTATCATTAGTGGCAGATTAATGTTATCCTTTCAATGGGCAGATCTTGTTTCAATGGGCAGATCTTTCATACAGCTTGCTGAAGTCATACATCATGCACTGCATTATGTTTTAGATAAACATCACATCAAATAACATCATGAATTTGAAATTAAATTAACCAAATTACATACGTCTGCATAAACCACTTTAACTGCCGGATACCCTGTCACTGAATGACATACGGGGCCAAAAACATGGGGCCAATACGATTCATAATTTGTGAAATGATGTTCAGGAATAAATTTTAAGCCAACACATTACAGGACAAATTCTAGTTTTTGAATGTGTGGAACAGATTTGTAGATTGCAGAAAAAAATGAGAATATCTAAATACTTTATCCTTATATCAATGCTTTTTTTTCCCATGCAAGGTTTTATGGCAGGTTTATTAAGTGTGGTATGCAACTGCAAGTTTTGAAATTATTTCTGATCATGATTTCACAAGCTCAATATCTCAACAAAACAAAACAAAAAAACCCTACCTGTAACAAACAGAGTCAACAGCGCAGCACAGCTCCACAGAAGTTTGTTCATCGTGATGTTCTTAGATCTACCTGCAGGTGAAAATACCTCCGAAGAGTTTCGGTCGTCTCTAATTTGTGACCGTTTCAAAAGGTGTGCTGAAGCTTTAGGTTTTGTGGACCAGTGATTCACAGTTACATACACCGGGGGAGTTATATCAGTAAAATATGTCAACTGTAGAGATAAGAGAGTGAGAAAGGGGTGACATATTCCTGTACGTGAAGTAAAACGAAATAGGAACACAGTCACACCTTCACAGCGCCTGTCATATTAACACTATTGATGGTAAAGAAGTGGATATTGTTGCAACATATTTGAATCATTAGTGTTTAAGTGGCTCTGGCTGCTTTCATGCTGAATGACGGAAGCTGGACATGAAAACCATTGGTCCATTACTTAGCTACCTACTGTACTTCAACTGTATATATATATATGATTTTTAGCTAAATATTTCAACTTCTCGCCTCACTTGAGTGATTTCACAAGCTCTCAAATGCAAAATGGATGTTGATGTTGATGTTGTAAAGTAAATTTATTAGTTCATCAGTTGAGCTTTTCCGTACCCACTGGCGACTCCGCCAGTATATCCTTTGGTACAAGTACAATCATTATAGTAGAATATTGCTTGACATATAAATGACTATTAAACTATTTATGTCATCTTTTTTGTTGAAGTAAAATTGCCCAGTGAGACACAAAGTAGGTAAAAGGATAAATAAATTTATTGATTATAAAAACAAAAAGCAAAGCAACAACATGGAAGATTTTATGAACTCAATGTTTCCCTGAAACATCCCATTGCTCAACTTCCTTGATGTGGAGTTTCCCTGAGTTATGGAGCTTATGGAACTTCATCACTTCATCATAAAACTGACCTCTGACATGACATGAGTTATGAAAAATAGAAACAGTGACAATGTGTGAACATATGAGTGAACATACACGTAAAATCACCAGGTCCAAAGAGTTTATTATGGATAGTGCCTTTCATTCTTGGTTGCAGCTGGTTGCTGCGGTTTTTGTGATGTTCTACTAGGCGTTTTACTGCATGCTTCCCCACACGGAGGCCAGGACGGCTGCACCGATGGCGGCAGTGAAGGTCATCTTGGTGGACGGGGCCCCGCTGAGCTGCACGGGGTTGCACTTGTCTGTTGAGCAGCACTCGATTTTGGTCTGGTAGTTGACGCTCAGCAGGGTGGCGTTGGTGGTCGCGTTGCAGCCACTGGAATCATCCTTGCAGCCCTGGGTGTTGAAGCCAACGAAGTCCGAGAGTGACGGGAAAGCTGAGGAGAAATAGTTGTGTCAGACTGATAAAAGAGTCGGGGAGTAGCATGGTACATTAAATCAAATACAGTTTTGAGGTTCTGGTACTTTATTCAAGTGTTTCTGTTTTGTTAGAATTTCTACTTTTTACTCCACTGCATGGAAATAATGCACTTTTTACTGCACCAAATTCACCTGAGCCACTATACCTGTATGTTCATACACTAATTTTGCGAATCAGATCTTACATCTTCATTTTTTTTTAAATTGTTTTTCCCCTTTCATTCCTTTGCTTACTTTTTTGTTCCTTCCCTTATTATTTCAATTGCTCTGAAACCATGAAATCTTTTGTTTAAATGACTGCTTTTATTCTGGCTTTTATTTTTTCCATCTACTTTTAAACCAGTGTGCAGGACTTGTAAAGAAGTAATTTTCCACTGGTATGGCAACCGTTAGTCAAAGAAAAGGAATCACTCCATTGAATCAGCATGAAGATAAAACATGCATATCTAGTCACATGGGACACAGCAGGGAACATAGGGTGTGCTTGTTAATCCATGTGTCTGGGTGTCAAAGGATTTAGTAAAGATTTGTGAAGTGACTCATGCCTGTGCTGTTATGTAATGTTTGAAGGAAAAGGGTGTGAGCGTGAGCGTGAGCGTGAGCGTGAGCGTGAGCGTGAGCGTGCAGATGATTGGCAGGTGACTTACTGGCTTTTCCAGTAAAGCAAACACTGGAGTTGGACGAACAGGACTCCTCAGCAGAGTTGAGGCAGAAGCCCACTAGGCCAAAGGTGCATTTGTTGCAGGTTAGGGACTCCGCTGAAACACACAAGTGAACGCACAAAGGTTAAAATCAAGAAACATTTCATAACATGAGCTGAGATTGATTATCAAAACGATCTATGTCTTTTCTAGCTTCAATTCGTGCCCCGTAACATGCTATAATATTATGGCACTGATTGTTTTTTAAGAGCTTCTGCTAATGTCGCTTTGATAATTACACATGCGTGTTTTTACACGTGTTTCTTCTGACCATTCAGTTGGACCTTTTGCCACACCCTGCACTGTGGTACCTCGTCAATTTCAGTGATACTGTATTTGAATCTTCATTGTCAATGTGTGAATGGATGCTAATCAGTGGTGCACTTTACTGAACGGAGACCTTAAGTTGTTTTTTCAGCAAATATGAAGGATTTCTAAAGAACCAACTGGCCATGGGGCTTATTAAAAGAAACACACACAAAAACAACTGGTTATTTCACCCAAATCACTCAAAGAAAACAAATTGTCTCCGTTTCCTCTAGTGGTGATAGTTGAAGAAAGTTGACACTACCCTGCATGATCCTGACGCCTGGTGTCAAACTGTTTTTAATGGAGCTACTTTCGCCTGAAGAAATAGTCCCTTTGAAAATTGTTGACAGTGATGTTTGTGGATAATCTTGAGTGGCAACAGACTTTTCAGTGAGCCTGTCTCAAAAACCTGGACACATAAATGTTAAACTAGCTACACGGTAAGGTACCACCGGGGCTAAATTAAAAAATATCTATCATTATACTTTGGGTGAACTGACTCATTTAAAAATCTAAAATTGACAATTCTGTAATATCACTTTTACCAAAAACTAATTTCTGTACTGTATAAGCACAGGTTTGGGCAAATGAAATGTCAATAAAAAATCAATAAAAAGCTGAATTCAACTGTGTGTTCTGTTTCTGTTTTCTTTATGATAAAATAATAGTAGCACAAGTAATACAAATTAAATGAATGCTAATGAATTTGAAATCTGTGTCCAATCTTTTCATCAACTGAGCTTTTCCCGCCCTTTTTTTCATGGCTAATCTTTGCACTACAGATTACTCAATCAAAACAATCACCGCAAGAGAAATTGCCAAATTTCATGTCCATCATATCTTTCTTTCCAGTAAAAACCCTGATAACTGTTGATCTCTGATCTTACCCAGAATAAAAGATGCAACAACTGCAATGATTCCAAACAGGATCTTGCCCATCTTGTTGTGTTGATTTGGTCCTTGGTTTCAGGTCACACACACAAAAAAAAATCCTTCCACAGAAAGTCTAAAGCTTCTTGGATGCTGTGTGAAGTATGAAGTGATGAGCCTGTTTGGTGAGACCTGAGATTTATAGCAAGACAGGTGAGGGGAGGAGACAAGAGGGGCTTTTCAAGTCTTTTGTCTTTATCTTTACGTCAGGGCAAGACTGTGGAGGAATGCAAGGGATGGTTGATGCAAGATCTAATTGCATACCATGAGCCATTCAAACTCTCTGCATCTGTTATTCAAGAAATAGAATAAATCATGGATTACGGATCATGAGATTAAGCTTATATTTTTAATTAATTGACCAATTTTTTTGTCCAAAAATGGCCAGAAAAGAGTGAAAAATGTTCATTATAATTTCCTAGAAACCAAAGTGGCAAAGTGAAGCTGGTTGATTTATGTTTAATTTTAGCTCCCATGTTGCCACATCTGGAACAAATGAAGACACACCTTTTTACCATTGCTTTTAATTAAAGTGTGGAGCTTCTCATAATTCTTATCCATCACACTGCCTTTTTAACACTGTTTTATTCATCATTCTCAATCAAATTGCATGTATGTTATTATTCCGTTACCTTTACCTGCTTCTTTTAGTCTTATCTTATTCATATTTTGTATTCTTTTGCATTGTGTAAAGCACTTTTTCACAGTGAATGAAATAGGCTGGTTAAATTAACTTGCCATGCCTTTAATTCAATATATTCAGTTTGAGACAAAGAAAATGATCAAATCTCATCATATGAAAAGCTGAAATCAGTGAATATTTGGCATAAACTAATCAATCACCTAATTGTTTCAGCTTTAAATCATATTGTTGTTACAAAGTGGAAACCTCCAAAGTCAGGCCACACTTGATTAAAGACACCAGTTTTACAAACATCCTACTATTATCTATATGTAAAGAATGTACCGTCTGTGCAAAAACCTGGAATCAAGATAGGCGGGTTCCCTCCTGCAGCACCGTCTCCTTTGTGGGGCAATGAAACCTGAGGAACCAGTTGGTCCTGCAGGATGGCACTGAGTTGAAAGAAGAAACTAAAATCACAACACAGGAAGGTTTTTCCCCCACTTTGATTATTTATTGCATTCTTCAAATTATCTACATAACCAATTTCACAAAAAACATTCACACTCACCTACATGTTTCTGTTTTTGGGAGTAATGCCAGATGTGTCAAATTCAGGGAGTGGTAACTGATCTTATCTAATAATCAGTGATTAATGCGGAAATACAAGCCAATACAAAATAGAGAATGATTTGACTAGACATACTTCAAATTTGTGTAATCTCAATTACTTTTCAGTCTCCAAACACAATATGATTGATTTCATCACGTTCTCCACATACATACATTCAAAACTAGCAAGACAAACGTTTCTACCCATATCAAAAATATAACAACAGTTACACACAGAGTTAATGAAGCTGCTGTAGTCCCAAAAAAAAAAAAAAAAAGGTTCACAGATACCGCAAGACAAAAGCCAAGGGCCCCATTTACATTATGTTAGCGACATGGTAATAAAGTGAATGCAAAGCAACTGGCAATAAAATGAAATGAATAGAAGTAAGAAATGTTTATAGAAGCTTTGAAATCATATATTGGCTTTTGAATATTATGACTCTAAAATGACAATACAGTGGGTCAAAGGCAATAAATTAAAAGAATAGTTTGACAATTTGGAAAATGAACGTACTCCCCTTCTTTCAGAGAGTTGGATTAGGAAATTGATACGACCTTCATGTGTGCAGGACAAACATGAAGCTACAGCCAGAACACAGTTAACTTAGCTTGGCATAAAGACTGGTAACAAGGGGAAACAGCTAGCCTGGTTCTGACTACAAGTAACAAAAATCACAGTTGTTGAACACATTAGTTATCTGTGTGTTTTATCCCTTCACCAGTCCAGTACCAGTCTTTGCCAGTCCAGATCAGATGTGAGAGCTTTCAGGGAGAAGTCTCCTTTTCCAGTTTCAGCTCCAGGTGGGACTGTCAACAGAAAGAGGAGGCTGTGGCAAAAGTGGAAACATTAGCCAAGCGGAGTGACAGAGCTGAAGCTGCAACAGGTGAGTTTTTTTTTTTTTTTTTTTTAACCTTTAGACAGAGCCAGGCTAGCCATTTCCAGCTGTTGCCAGTCTTTATGCTAAGCTAAGCTAACTGTCTCCTGGCTTGTAGCTTCGTATTTTCTACACAGACATGAGACTGATATCAAATCTAATGCAACTCTTGGCCCAAAAAAATTTTAAAAAGAAAAAGCTGAATGAGCACATTTTCCAACAAGTGTCAAACTATTCCCTTAAGCTATAACAAACAGCACAAACTCTCCTAGATAGTCATACAGCGACATACCCAACATGTCACTCAGCTGCTGACCAACATAGCCTTGTAACAAAACTTCAGACTGCTCCTTCAAGTTAACGGCAGGGAACTTGCATCTTGTCAGTGTTAAACACTCATTTTAGGACTTTAAATTGTCTGTCCGCTAACATTTTAACATCTCCTGCAGTGAAATGAGGGCTTATACATACTAAAAATCCAAAAACAAAGAGTGAAATAAATTTTAACTGAGATATACACTTGTGTGAGTAGTACAATACACCTCAAGGATAGTAAACAAGACCCATGTGGAGAAAAAAAGTTGCAAAACCACAGAGCTCATGTCTGAGGAGGGCATTTGATTTAATCCTGGTAGTGCTCGTGTGTGTGCAACATGTAGTGTGTGTGTTTTTAATGTGTGTATGCACTGTGTGTCATCCATGTATCCCCTATATCCTCTGTCAAACCAGGACTTTGGCCACAAGCAGAGCAGTGATGGTGGCGAAGGTCAGGCTGAGCCCGGAGGCCCCCGGCAGACCGGGCGCGGCGTTGCACAGGTCGGTGTTGCAGCACGTCTTGGTCATGGTGTAGACGGTGGTGTTGGAGCTGCTGCTGGGAAAGTTCACCTCTTTGGTGCTGTTGCAGTCGGCCTCAGCTAGACAGCCCTTCATCGTGATATTCATGAAGGAGGCTGGAGACAGACAGCAAACATACACAATCACTGTCAGGGTCCATTGTTCATTGTGTTTGTTTGAAATGGCTGTTTGGAGTTTCACACTCAGAGGAATGCACCGATACACCTCAAGTTGTGAAGTTCTTGTTATTCCAGTTTTGGTTTCGAGGTTTTAACGACAAGTAAAAGACTATAGGAGGTAACACTTTACCTTAAGCTCCCTATTTAGCATTTACAAGCAATATATAAACATTTCATAACTGGTTTGTAACCCTGATGTAATTGTAGGCAGATATGAGGCATACAAGGACAGTGTATGTGACTGACTTGCATATCATGTGACAGTATGTGTCATTATAACATTTCCTTTTAAGACATTTATAATACTACAACTATGTTTTACTATATTTAACACTCGGATCTGCTTAAAACTACATTATAGTACAGACTATAAACATTTTTAAACCAATAACAGAAATAAAAAAAAGAAATAAGTGTTCACAACAGCAGCAAAATAATACAGTGTGTGTTCATCATAATGAAGAAACCCGTCACCCTGTGCAACTGAGAGTCATTTGTGTGTTTTTAATCTAATTAATTAATACATTTCTGGACAACAAAGGCACACTCACAGAGGAACACACGTTTGCCTTTAGCTAAGGCAGGGTCCCTTCTTAAAACTATTGAGACAACTAAATATGATTTGGGTGCGAACCAGGTCTGTTCCACTGGTGTCGACAGTGGGCAGATCGTATAGACCTTCAGTCACTGCCAGTTTTTTTTTTTTTTTTTTTTTTTTTTTTTAAATTCTAAAATTTAAATTTAAAATTAGATGTTTTTCATATGACAATTTCACATGTTTACATTTACTGTAGGCACTCAAATCTTGAAATCCAAATTTGTAAATAGATTCCCTGTGAGTTGAATAAGTGATTTGATGTATGGCTATCTACGCTGACACACAGACTGGAAGAATGAATGATTTGTGATTGTGTGAAAGGAGAAACTGAACCAGTCTGGTTTATCTACTGTGAGTGAAGATGCATAGTGATTGTGATCACCATTTAAAAAAAAAAAAAAAACATATCTCAGAATGTAAAAGGCAGGTCTGTTATCTGTAACACCAGATAAATCCAAACATAAAGGCACAAACATGAGTGTGTGATTAGAGCTGCAACTGATGATTTTAATTAATCAGAGTTCCCCCAATTAATCATACCCCTCATGAGGAGGACTAAATATGTATGGAACACAACACATATTTTCATCTAACAATTTTAATTAATCTTTTTCAAGTGTTTGTGACTTTTAGCCAACTTTGTCAACTGTCCTCATGAGTGTAGCGATTTCAACCTTTTAGCTATTTCACCTGTTTTTCATGACATTTTTCTAACCATTTCAACCTCTCTGCTCACTGGCTAACTAGTTTTCACACACCAACAATAAATTACAACGCATGATGTTAGTGTGTTACAACTGACTCAGGTTGAATGGTTAACTAGTTGTGGCACACCTCGAGCCTCCCACATACCCCGCCCTGGCAACTGCAAAACAACCCCATGAGGTCATATCACCCCTGGTTGGGAATCATTGGCTTAAGACTTAAATTCTATGTTGCGTTACTATTGAATAATCAAGTAATTGTTCCAGCACAAGAAAAATCGTTGTCTCAACCTTTTAATGAAAATCCTTTTACATTTGCTGGAGAGTAAAGTGATCCTGGTTTATTGGAGAGAGAATGCAACTGATGGGGATTTGTGCGAGTGTTGAAAAGCTTCTTAAAAAAAAAAAAGAAAAAAAAAAAAAAAGGAGAATGTTGTCCAGTGAGATTTTATAGCCACTGAGCTCCTCACCTGCCGTCCCAACACCACTGAAGCAACGTTCTCCCTCGTCACAAGTGTCCTTTGAGGTTATGCACAGATTCCAGAAGCCGAGTTTGCATTTGTAGCACTGCAGAGCTTGGCCTGACATCAAAAGTAAAGTTGGAGGGATGAGAAGGGAGGGAGGGACATACAGAAGGAGGAAGAAAAGAACAGGAGAATTAGTGATAAAAAAGGTTTACAGCAGTTTATACCTGGTATAATTATGTGTTCATTCCACCAAACTTTTTCTCATGTTTGTTTGGTATGGAGGACTGTTTCAGTTCCATGATTAAGTCTGGCGTTTACTTCTGCCTACTTCGATGTCTATCGCCCCAGCGAAAAGTTTCTTCCATTTTTTTTATTTTTCTGGTTAATCCACCAATTAATAAACTACCTGTTGCAGCATAATAAAAAAAACTCCTTCTAACCTTGTGATTAAAATGACCAGAAAACTGAACAGAACGGCCCAGTTATCAATCCAAACTGATAGTCTAAGTACAGAGGTTCTTGCATGTATAGATTGTGAAACACTATGGGACAAATTTTGAGCTATATAAATAAAACCGCAGTGCAGTGAGCAGTGTACCCGTTTCCTTTAACAGCTGCGACTAGTTTCTAGAAACAGGAAACTAACTGCAGACTACAGATAATAGTACCCTGTGTGGAACTTGTAAATTCAAACCAAGTCTGAAGTCGGTTTAGAGCCAAGGTATGTTGACAAAAGCTTTGACTTGCAGATAACAGGTCTAAAAGGTCATCAACTCAGGATTTTCAAATACAGAGTGAGCTCACGGGGACGAAAAGCGGGTTCTGAACCACTGCACTGCATTCAGCATGAAGGGATAAATGTGAAGCGCCTCACAAAATAAAATAAGGTAAGCAGTGAATAAAATTCAGTAATTAAAACTACACCTGCAGAATTGCTGGAGATAAAATGGCTGATGCAGTACATGTTAAGTCTTGTCAGTGGGCTGAGCAAACATTCATGAAGTCACAGACAGCATCTATTAAATTTGCTTTCTCAGATCTATCAGAGGAACTTGAGCACACCAAATATAGACCTGTGAACTTTATTACTCTAAACTCAAAGTAAAAGTGAAGTAAATCTCCCTGCCTATTTTTCTTTTTGCAAATCCTCTTTTAGTTACTTAAGGTCATCATAAAAAGACCCCTCGAAACAGTAATACCATCTGTACGTAGATGGAAAACCAGATTTGTTTTCTAACAGATTTAAGAGAAGCCTGAAGTGGAGTGGCCACTGTGAGGCTGAAACACTGCAGTGAGAGTGTGACATAGTGCTGGGGAGGGAGGGAAGATATCTTAGCAGCTGAAGTGAACCCTGTTGGAACTATCCTCAGAAACCAGTCGCTCCAGTTTCATTGTGCCATGACTAGAACTGTTGGATAAAGTCCACACTAATCACACTGAAGTCATAAACATGCTTGTTAGTTATTGTGTCTGCACAGTATGTACTTGAGTATTTTAAAAAGGGAATCTGAAGTCTAAAACAAAATTCATATACATTACTTCTGATGCATTGTAGTTTTGTGCATTTGAACCAAATCATCCCAAGTAATGAAGACTAAGACTGAAATGCATTATAAATGATACTGAAACTAGCATTAAATCACAGTCTGAACTGTTTTTACACAAAATGAATATTCACAAGTATTTGGCCTCTGCATCATCTGATAAGTCATCACCAATAATTTTAGTTCTAAGATAATTAGCCAAGTTTAGTTGAATTCTCAAATGGTCCACTTTGCATGCAGGAATAAAGAAAAACAAACAAAACAAACACCCCCCCCAAAAAAAAAAGTGCTCATTTTAATATGGCCCTTTAAAATAATGAATAATTTCATATGCAATATTTACATCTCTCACACTACATTAAAAAAAAACAACAACATGTAAAACAATTACTGGAGATAAATATTTAATGGCCAATTAAGTATCCAACTCTAGTATTCTACAGAGAAGAAGATATATTTATATTTAGTTACTGCTGTGTCATCATGATGTTTCTTAAATTTCACTTTTTCTTCCACTAAATGGAGGATTTGACTTAAAATGTGAAATTTTCACAGGTAAACCTATATGATATTGTGAGACGGCCCTGATTTCAATCACAATCTGGCAGGATAATCCATTTCTTTACCGCAGAGGTAAAAACACACCCATACCATTGCACACAACCCCACACCCTGTCACGCAGGTTTCGGTCACACCCAGGTAGAACCTTAGAGACTTTTGACAATGCATCCTTTCTTATTGCCAACTTATATATAATCACTATAATATGTTCTGGCCTTAAGTCAAACAAAGATTTCTTTATCTGGGAGACAAAATGCCTTTTCTGAAAACAAGCCACCAAAAATTGATTAAAAAAAAAAAAAAAAACTTCTTTGATGACCCTGTGTACTAAAGTAGCAAACCATAAAATGATAATCACACAAAAAATATTGCAGAGTGACTCCCATACTGTCACACCTTGCAGCAATTAAGCACATTGCAATGCTGACTGGCATGTTACACATCATATTTTCTGGTCCAACTTGAATCTTCAGGCTATTGACTCATCCTGTTTATAAAAACACAACACGCATGAATCGGTGTTGCTTAGGACATGTTTTTTTCCCCAGCATTTAAGCACAAGAATTCTTTGTCAAGGTCATGTGAGGATTACTGAACAGGCCTAGAGCCAGAGCCTCAGTGTGAGATGACTATTATTTCTGATTAGAAAGTAAATCAAACAACTACGACAAAGACGCATAACAACCATAATCAGGCGCAAAACAACAAAAGCGACACTTACCATAGAGAGACTCAGTATTTGTGTTTGAGTGTATTGCTGTTATGCTAGAGGTGTGTGGGGAATCTTGTACATGTCTGTGCCCAGGGGTGCACTGTCTCATAACCCATCTATGACCAAGGTGTGGAGAGTCTGATGCAGTCTGGATGTGAAGTCACATGGGAACACTAAAACTAATGATGTTCAATTACAGCAGACTGTTTGTTCACTGCAGCAGAAGTGTCTCAACACATAATTGTTTGTGTCTTCTACTCCTACGATTGTAACAAAACATCTACACAGCAGCACGTTTCCTTAAAAGAACAGACTCTGGGTAAAAGAGGCAAAGTATATATTAGGGATGTGTGCGATTACTCGACTAGATTAAACACGGCTACCCTCGCCTATTGGCACCAAAGTCAAACTAATCATTAATATTTTATGGTTGTCTGTTTCATCTGAAATGTTACGCTCTAGCCCGCCACTAGCTGGGGCTGCAGCGGATGTTGTAAACAAGCAAGGTGGAAAGTGGGACAGATGACATCTTGTAAAACCAGCAGTTCTGATTTAGAGGTTGTATGTACGCTGCATCAGATTAAACTGGCATATAGCCAGTCGAACAGAGGAATATGTAACCACATTCAGCACAAACATGGAAGCTAAGATGGCTACTGGTGATGGCTTTTTTGTACTTTTAGACTAGTTGACTAATCTAAATTTAAATTTCCGTTTAAGTGACAGGGAAACTAATCATTAGGAACATCCATAGCATATATCTAGTAAAAGGTGGAAAAATTCACTTTTGAAAAGACATAGTAGCTAGAGGAGACTGGTGCGCAAGAAGCAGCGCTGCATATTTGCAGGATACATTTATCACGATACAGGCGACCGCTCAGATATCAGGTGATATATTTGTCAGTCAGTGAAAGAAAAATTCTTTCCTCATCACAGGAAAGATTCTTCTTTTGTGAGGTACTTTTAATATTACGTCAGTCCCCTAACACCAATGTTATCACACGTGCACAAAGGAGGAAATACCTGAGCAAAAGCAGCCACTGATTTCCCGACTACTGAAAATTGTCTTTAAAAAAAAGTGGTGGAGCAAGTACTCAGATCCTTTACTTTCACTGACAGCTGACAGGTTATCAGGTTCACCCAGCGAAAAGTAATGCAGTCTTATCCTGCAATAAATCCTATCTGCATAAGGCTTATAATGTCCAGATAAAATTTTGTCATCTCATCTGATGTCATCATTTAATAGAAATATAAGATGGGTGGTTTGATGTGCAAAAAAAAAAAAAAAAAAACATTTTATAATTTGATCAAACTGTAAAACCTGTATCTAGAGCTGTCAAACAAATGTAGTTGAGTGTATTTTCAACTCAAAATTTAGTGGAGTAGAAGAAAATTAAAATACCGTACAGTACAAGTACTTAAGTATTCAACAGTATTTGAATTTGGTTATCTGCCCTAGAAAAGCAGAGAAAGACAAAATACAGGAACACTAAATTTTTCACAAATACTTTAGTTCTGCATTAGCTTTGTGTAGGGCTGTTAGGTGTATTTAAAATTCATTTACAGGATTATATATAGAAATATCATGATCAGTAAGAAATCTAACATTAAGAGATGGCACCAATTAAAAAAATAATAAAAAATTAGTAAAGCAGTGGTAAAATGATTAAAAAGTCACTTTTGAGGATGATATCTGAATTAGAGCAGTGAGTCACTGTCTGAAACTGAGCCAAAACCACCAATTCAGCTGGAATAAAAAAGTGCTTTCAGACTCCATTTTGATAGCAAGGAACATGTTTGAACTCCCAGGTGTGGCACATTACTATCCCTCAATGTGCAGTGTCAGCTTTATACTGCCCTCTACTGCTCATTCACTGAAACTACAGCTCAGAGCACCAGCCCTTCAATTTTCTACTGCAATGACATGTTGACAAACCAAAAACCAGAAGGAAAAACAAAAAGAGGGAAGCTAACGGTTGTCATAACAAAATAAATTCCTGTTAAATCAAATACTAAGGAACAACAGAATAATAAAAGTGATTTTTATAAGAAGTACGCATGGAATTAGATGCGGTGTTTTCTCCTGTAGATCAGTGCTTTTGGAGGAGCTGGTAACTAAGAGTTTGTGCTGTCTGTGGTTAAAGTTAAATGTTTCTAGTCACCGCTTTGTCATGAATTCAACATGAGCGTATCCATGTGTGACAAACAGAAACACATGAAAAACAGTAAAGAGTGACTCAGTCCAGCTTCCCACAAGCTGAAAACTTCTTTTATAGAGCCATTTCAGCAAAAAAAAGGCTCGGTGTTACACAGCTTTGTGTTTCAGCTCACTGTGGGAAAATGGGAGCAACTGGAAAGAAAAACAGTGAATAACACAAGCTGAAATTAAACTCACAATGTGAGTCATGTGCTACAACACCATCCCACTGTGCACACCAAGTTGAAATGTGACAGCAGGACACTGAATGAATATGCAAACAAGTTTATGTAATATGAGGGTAAATATGCTAAGACAGCACTCAACGCTTCATCTGAATAGGGGATAATTATTGTCCTTGAACTATACAACATCAGGAAAAGTAAAGATAAATACACCCGGGTGGGTCTGATGTGTTGTGCAAATATATTCTACGTCTGCATTTGGATGTAAAGTAGATTCTCACTCACAATGGCAACATCCTTGAAGGGATTAACCGGGCTCATGGGAAGAATAGTCAGATGACATGTTTTGGGGCGGTAACATTTTTGATTACCTTCTTGTGAATTAATTTTTACAGATTAATAAAACAAACCCTAAACGTGTGAGAAAGAAACTGACATAGGAGTTATAATAGTCAAAAACCAAAACTTGTAATCAAATCTACACAGAGGAGGGGACTTTAAATAACATTTCTTTTTTTTTTTCCTTCTAAAAAAACAGCCTTGCCGTCAGAAAATGTTAACTCTGGTGTCAGTTTTGAATTTAAAGAGCTGCAGGTAGAAAGGCCATTAATAGAGCCAGAAATACCTTGAGTGATTAACTGATGAGTGTCTCTGTACAATTTTTCTCCACAAGACTAACAGGACAAGTTTGCATAAGTATGAGAAAGTTGGATCTTGTATTTCATACCAGTATGTCCATTTATTAATGTAAAACTCTTATTTTTTTGCAGTGAATTCCTCACCAAGGTACACACACACACACACACACACAGATTTAACCCCCCTGCTCACTCATACAGGGAGTTTTAAAAACCTCAGTATGTAATTATCTTCATTTGTGAATCACTCTTCTGTCACAAACAACGATTTGAGTAAAGGTCTAAAAGGTTAACGTTATCACCTCAACGTGTATAAAGGAAGCCATGACCGGAAAATAGTTCCCTCTAGAGAGGGTGTGGTTTGAAACAGGAGACCAAAACAACAGAGCTGAGGGGACCCTGAGGACAAAAATCAACTACAATAGCTTAAAAACACAATAGCAGGGGACGCAATGTCCCTGCCCATTCTGCAGACGCTCTACAGAAGTGGAATTTGAGACTTGGGCACAGCCTCCACTGTTACAAGGTGAGGAATTTCTCATGGCTGGCAGGTTTGGACATGATTCAGTCTGGAAAAAAAGAACCTTCTTGTACCACAAACAGACTGCCTCACCCCAACCTGTAATAACAGCATTAGAGTAAAGCCTGGGATGTGCTGGAAAACTCTGCTTCTACTTCGTTCATCTGTGGGAACCAGTAAAAATCATCCTGTGCTCTGATGAATCTTACATGGTGAATCTGTTGGTTGGAGTCCTTATCTTATAAAAATGTTGGGGAAATGCAAAAAATGCCCATTATGTTTTTTCTGGAGTCCAAGTCCATGCTGGTGACAGTCCAAAAGCCAAAAATATTCAGTTTACTGTCGGATAAGATGAAGAAAAACAAGCAAATCCTCCCATGTGATAGATTAAATCAGAGACCAATTGGCATTATTGCTTGAAAAATTATTGAAATGGTTAATCAATTATCGTGATAAGTAGTTTTCTGTCAGCCAAATAAGAGAGTATGGACTAATCATCTTCTTTTTTCCATTTTAACAGTTTATCCATCCCTTTACCCATCTATTTCAACTGTTTATTTTTAGCTAACCATTTCAACTATTTTAATCGTTTTTCCATAACTTTTAGCAAACAACCATTTCAACTGTTTTTTGTAACTTCTTGCTATTGTGGCAGTTTGTTAGCTAACATTAACTACCAATTGTTTATCCATTACTTTTAGCTAACCATTTTAATTTCAAAAGTTTTATTCCTTAAACTGAAATCACACCCCATAAAAATCATACCATGATATGACAACAATCGTTTGCAACATAATGCTAAACAACCGGAGGTACTTTTTGTTTACTGGTCCTTCGCTGCAGGATATAATTTACCACAAAGCTGCCCACTTATTTGGCTGCTGATATGAAAACACAGTTGGTATAAAAGGTGAACACACCCAGTCAGACAGCCCCAAGCTCCGTGCCCTCCCAACAATGTCCCACCGAGTAAAACATGACACACACTTCCCAAACCCCCCCCCCCCAAAAAGAAAGTCAAATATTGAAGTTTTAACGCCCTGCAAAAATATTTTGACATTTCGAATACGTGTTGCCAGGAAAAGAGACGTCATGAAGAACTTAAAAATAAAAACTAGTTCATGGAAAATATAAAAAGGTCCATGCAGAAAGCAAAGAGCTTGAAATGTAACTGTATCCAACCATTTAAAACTTGCAGAATAGAGAAGCCAATTCTAAATATATCAGCACTCTAGACACTGTGGTGGTATTTTTAAGGGAGAACAACCACAAAAAAATACAGACATGCCAAACTTCATGTAAAAAAACGTAGATTTAGTCGGGGGAAAGATATTGAACGCTCTCTGTGAAATATAAAGCCGTCCATTCTAACAAATAGTTTCAGGGAGTAAGCTTTACAATAAAGAAAAAAATGTATATTTTTTAATGAATAAATCATAATTTAGAGTTTTATCTTACCGACAGCAAAGCAGAATCCGACTGCAAAAAGTTGAAGAATAATTCTGTTCATCTTGGAGAAAGGAGGGTAAGATTGCAAACTCGACTTTCAGGAGATGCTGCCCGTTTTCCTGTGAGGACTCAGACCGTTACAAAGTTGATCAAACAAAAATTTTTTTCCGCCATTGCTGTATTTATAATCTTCCACCTCCCAGCAAACGTCACCGTTATCCAATCAGAGGAGGTCTTGTTGGGCATCCACCCAGGTTTGTTTTTTTTTCAATCTCTCCCACCTGAGCGCCACACCACAGGCACACAGCTGGGGGTTATTAACTTCCAGCAGGGAAATGAAGTGTGGGAAAGATGGGGAAATGGGGAATTGTAGTGTTTGTGTGGTGCTCAAAGGTGATTTTATGGTGAAGTTGTCGTGTTTAACCCTTCCTGTCACATTATTATCATATTGCATGTATGGATTTATAGTGTTTTGGTGGTGCTTAAAAGTGACTTATATGATGCATTATGACCTAATTTAATCAGTGGTGGAAAGTAAAGTTCATTTATTCAAGCACTGCACAGTACAGTGCCGAGGTACTTGTGCTTTATTGCGTATTTCCATTTTATGCTGCTTTACACTTGTACTCCACTACTTTCATTTGACAGGTGTAGTTAGTTGAACACTTGCTAAACAAGTTTTATACAACACACTGTTAAAGATTAAACCAGTGGGTCCCAACCTTTTTGGCTTGTGACCTCATACAAAAAAAGCATTATTGTATTGGTAGTTTGTCTAAAGTTCCAGATGTGAATACTTCTCCCACCACTGATTTTGTGACTTTATAAAGATCCTGTAGTGTGCCATCTCACATCTGGTAGGAAACTATCATTTGCTGGGATGCTTGTATACTAACTGCACATCCACTGTGAAAAACATAGTTTGATTATTTCAAATTTTCCAAAAGTGATTGATCAAACATTCCTTAAGAGTTAAGAAAAAACAAAATAAATAAACAATTAAAAAGGCATTAGATTATTAAAGTGAAAACAAAGGTATTTTTTTATCTCATGCGAGTTTGATTTGATTTCTTTATGGATCTACAAATCACAGCTATTGAATGGATATGTTAAAATCAGAACAAATATTTCTAAAATTGTCTAAATGTAAATATATACAGTGGTGGCCAAAATTATTAGAACACCTGGCAGATCTGAAAAATATTGACCTATATTTTTGCCTCCAAAACATGATTTCATTTCACAATGTTCATGAAACATGCAGATGGTTGCTCTGAACACAACAAATATCAGATGAAGTGAGTCCTACTGTTTTTATCCACTGTTAACTTTAATATCTGGTATGTCCACCTTTTGCAGCAATTACAGCAGTACATCTCTCTGGCATAGTGTCAATATATTTCCTGAGAACTTCAACACTAATGTTATCCCATGCCTTCTGCCAAAGGCTTTCCTTTGAATGTACAATAGATCTGTCCAGTGTATTTTCCAACTCGCTCCAAATTTTCTCGATGGGGTTGAGGTGTGGACTTTGAGGGGGCCAGTCCATCATTTTCAATGTTCCAGCAGATTTCCTTCTGTCGCAGGTAGTTCTGGCAATAGTTAGAAGAATGTTTAGGGTCATTGTCCTCTTGGAAAATAAATCCAGGCCCAATAAGACGACTCCCAGATGGTACTCCGAATGTTGTGGTATACTTTCTTATCCATGATGCCATCAATTTTCACTAAAGTCACCTGTTCCTGAGGCTGAAATGGCGCCCCACACCATAATACTACCCCCTCCGTGTTTAACTGTTGACAAGAGACACTCATTTTTATATCTCTCCCCGTCCCTCCGTCGAACATACACTCTTCGCTTGTTGCCAAACTGTTCAAACTTGGACTCATCAGTCCGCAACACTTTATACCAATCTTCCTTTGTCCATTTCTTGTGTTCTTTTTCAAATTTCAGGCGTTTCACTCTATTTTTCTCTTTCAGTAATGGTTTCTTTGCTGCTATTCTGCCAACAAGTCTTTCTTCTCCCAGTTTCCGACACACAGTTCTTGAAGACACTGTTGCACCATTAGTCGTTTGGGTGTTGATCTCGTCACGCAGTTCTTGTGAGGTCTTTCTTCGATCCTTAAGACAGAGAAGTTTGAGATGCCTCACTTCACTGTCTGAAAGTTTATTTTTTCTACCTCTCCCCTTTCGGTTCTGGTGTGAATTGGTGGCATTATGGCGGTCTGAAGTGTACTTTACAGCGCTTGGACTGCATCTCAAGTCCTTGGCTATGCGGCGGTTACTCCAGCCAGCATCAAAACGGGCCTTTATTCGAACCTGTTGCTCACTCGTTAGCGCCTTCTTCACCTTAGCCATGTTCAAAGAGCAACATGTGCTTCAAGATTACTTCTAGAGGCTTTGAATTTATACCAATTGGTGGTGTGGCCTCAGTGACAAAACCCTGATGTTACCAATCACTTAATGAGCAGGATAGGCCTTGTACATTCAAAAGATTCACACAGCTGTGTCCCAAGACTCTTGCATCACCATCAATTTAACCAAGATCACACCTGACGATGATTACACAAGTAATTTGGCTTCTTCTGTGAAGGAACATGATTGTGTGACATTGATAGTGAAATAGGCCTAGCTTGTTTTTTGTAAGGAAAATGACCTAAATCTCCTTATGATGGCTCTATTCTATGGTTTATAGAGCATAATGATGACTTTGTAGATATTTTATTTGTTTTATGGGTATTTTAATGGCCAATTCAACAAAAACAACTGAAACCTCTTAAATATGCCAAGTGTTCTAATAATTTTGGCCACCACGGTATATATATACATACATATTTCCATTATTGCAAACCAGACCAAAAAAAAAAAATAGCTACAGGAGTACACCTAAATACAACAAAAAAGACTGATGCCTGAAGTAAAAGTTGAAATTTTGGAGATGAACAGCAAACAAATCACATCGATAATCATCATGACACCAGATCTATATCAAAATTATGAAAGAATGAAGAACTTTTTACTGAGAATTTTTATTATCTATTTTTAGAAAAGGACAGTTACAGTGATAACTGACCTCATTAAGATAATTACTGTTTGTCCTCCTGGTGGAGTTACGCACCACACCTCTTTGCCCAAAGTGATTCAGGTAAAAGACCACACATCTCAGGCCATAAATGTTCTCCACAGGATTTACTGTCTAAAGTCTCCTAAGAAAAAGGTTAAAGATGGATAAATAAACAAATTAACAAATGAAAAGTGAACGTGTGAGTGCAAGTCAGGTCAGTGAAGTTTAAACTGGGCAGTTTTAAAGGAGGAAATTTGTCTGGAAAGTTTAGTGTGACACTCTAGACCTGCCTTTCCCTTTGCTCTATCCTTTGCTCCACAATAAACTAAACTGTTGGAGAAGAGTCCAGTTCTGTTCCTCCAGAGCGACTGACACAGAGCTCAGCTGTGATGTGTCTGTCTCTTCCTTCTTAGAGCACAACAGGGTAAATGGACTTGCTCTTATATAGCACTTTTCTAGTCTCACTGACCATTCAAAGTGCTTTACAATACTTGCCACATTCACCCATCACATTCATACACTGATGGAACAGCCATCAGGGGAAAAGTGGGGTTCAGTATATCTCGCGGACAAGAGGAGCCGGGGATCGAATAACCGACCTTCTAATTAGTGGATGACCCGCTCTACCTCCTGAGCCACAGTCGCCCAACATACAGTGAGGCAACATTTGGTCATCGTGTTGGTTTCGGGACAGGTCATTTCATTAAGTGTAAACTCATGTTTGTCTTGTTCCATTAAAAAAAACATTGACTTTTTGCCTCCACTGCCCGTTATCCACGTCCTCTGTGTAGTCAGGTTCATTCTTGGTTTTTATAGCTTCTACATCAGTTTTTTAAAAGAAAGGTCAAAGCTGCCAAAGTCACAAAGAGCAGAAATAAAATAAATTCAAAGAAGTAACAGGCACATTATCCTTCAAAAAAACCCATCAATCTAAGACAGTGAGCCAAACTTAGTCAGTACATTCACTGATGCCCAGTGACACAACTGCCTATGTCAAACAGAAGTGGGAGAAAGAATCGGGCCTGGACATATCTGAGGATGATCCGACTGATATACAGTATGGGAAAGGCAGACTAAGAATACAAACCTCCAGGTCTTGTAGAGAGCTCTGCTAGAGGAACACAATTAGTTATTTTGTGACTCAAAATTTATTCAAAAGGTTTGAGAGGAACAGGACGAATGCTGGAGGCATCTGACCCATTTTTTTATATATTGGTAGGACAGTGGTTCCCAACATGGGTGTTAGATAACTCCTAAGACGGTCTCAAGATAAATCTGAGGGGTCATTAGTTGATTATCAGAGCAGGAAAACAGAAAAATATGTTATATGTTATGTTAAGTTAAATATTATGTTTTATTCATCTTGTCATTCTTTTTGCTTGTGAATTAATGGATCATTTTACATCTCATATTCATCCCTGAAAAGCATTAAAATTATCTGGACGGAAAAAAAATATTTTGAACACTAGCAGATATAGCTTTGTTTTCAGGGGCCACAAGCCAAAATATGGGAAACCACCGATAAAGAGAAACAATGGATGGACTAAAATTTTCCAGATTAAGTATATCAGCGACTATATTAGTGATCAGGGGTGGACCATCACCTTTCATCATCCTCTTCTTCTGTGCTTCCTGTTAGTGTGATCAGCTAAAACCCAAACCATCTCACTTATGTAATAAAACTACAGAACACACTGTAACTGATCTAAGGTTTGGCATTAACACACACACACACACACACACACACACACACACACACACACACACACACACACACAGTCAACTCCTGTGCAGGTCCTTACTATTCTGAGTTATAATTTACGCCACCTGACAAACAAGTATGTGTGGGCTGACTGGAAGCAATAATAGGCAGGTTTCCCTCGAGGCTGTACTTCAGTGCTCCTGCAACTGAAGCCACAATACATTTACAAAATCACAGACACCTGAACAGTGTAATGCATCTGACTCCATCTGCGCAAAAAGCATGATTTAAATATATGGTAATTTGCAAAGGTAGTTTGTCTTTTAAAAAAGACGAGAGGTGTTCAGGACACTATTGATATATGTATATAATGGACTGATTTGTAAATAA